TAAAAAATATGGATCTTTACATAATCAAATTAATTTTTTCATCTTTTCCTCTGTGATACTTCCCATCGCTTCTGTGGTTAGAACTTGCTTCCTCAACTAAAGAACAGATTATAAAATTTATACCATCTTCAAGTTTATTATAGTTTGGTTTTTGCTTTATACCTATCTCTTATCTAAGATTCTATGTGGCAGGCATGGTGCTCAGTGTTTGCCACAAATCATCTCATTTAATTTTAATGACCTGTAAGTATTATTATCTCCATTTTTACATTAGAAAATGGCAGCTCAGAAGGATTAAATGACTTGTCCATAAGCTACTCAAGTTCCTTTCATTTCAAAGCCCAGAACCTTTCCACTATGTCACTTTGCTTCCCCACTGATCCTGGATACCAAACCTGGATGGGACTAGCCTCCTGGTCTTGCCCATGTTCCTGGTGATCGCTCAAACTGGCCACCATGTACATCCAACCTGCGAGGGTGGGCTATACCTCATCGCCAACAGTAATATTAATAGTTTCAATAATCAAATGAACACAATGTTATAGACGTAGAAAAGGAAACAATTGCCTCTATGTGGAGAGGTGAGAGATGGTCTCACAGAGGACACAATATCAACCCTTTAGAGGAATATGATTTGAGCAAGTCAGAAATGGGGAAAGGAGGCATAAAGTGAAATAACAGACACAAAGGGAAGGAACAGAGTCTCACCGTGTGGGGCTGAAGTGCAGCTTAACAGGAGAATACAAAACATCACTGACTTGAATAGTACAGTTTATAACTGCTCCCATTTCCACTGCCTCATTTGACAGGTACAAATTATTATTTGTGTTTCAAAGATAGGAGAAAACTGAGGCTCAGGTAAGTTGTGATTTGCCAGTGTCATGTGGCTAGTAAGTGGACACATGCTCTTAAACCCAGGTTTGGTTCCAAGTCTCACCAACCATCTGTAAGTTTTTCTGCAACCACAGCTCACAATGATTATCTGGTTCTGTAAACACCTAATAACTTTTCTTTATCTCATAATTTCAAAACTATATTCTCAGTTCTACTGAGAACCATGATGAGGATTAAATGAAAAAAGGAACCCAGAATAATGCCTGTGTTATAACAGAAGCTCTAAAGCTAAGTCCTTTTTGCTCTTTTCTTACCAATTCACAGATTTTAAAATGGTCTCCCAAACCAACAAAACTTCCTTGATGACAACCTTTGCCTATGATTTCTCCAGGTCTCTTTTAATACCAGGGCAATTTATAGAGAATAAGGCTGCTGTTAAACAAAATGTCATGCGAGTTATAAAGATACAATGAGGCTCTTCAAAATGACGGACTGATTTCTCTCTACATACTGAAGAAGAAAATGTACTTATAAAAAGAGTCAATGATCTGTTATGAAGGGGAATAGCTGTAACTTCTAGGAACTTTTATTCAGAAAAAGGCTACATTTACCCCATTACTGTTATTGAAGAATATATGTGTCACACCAAAATGATCACTCCTAAATTATCAAATAAATGTCTAATGAAAGATACCAATAGTGGTGTTCAATTAGCAATACTGGCATTAAGGTCAGGGAGTAAATTCTTACCTCCAAAGGTGAACTGCAAAGGAATCTCGTGAACTGCAGAGTCAAATTCGAACAGAATCAATTTCATCCAGTAAACGGACAGCAAAAAAGAACACAGAGAAAAAGAAAAAACTATTATACAATTTTCCATTAAGAGCATCTAAAGTAAACCCAAAAATCTATATTAAATCAGTGTCTTCATACATTTGTATAATTCATCCACAGAGTTTAGAAAGGTTCAACCTAGCCCACAGTATGTGCACAACTATTTGAATTAGTTTAAATAAACATTCTTAAAAATCTGTATAAAAGCAAATAAAGGGCCGGGCGCGGTGGCTCACGCCTGTAATCCTAGCACTCTGGGAGGCCGAGGCGGGCGGATCGTTCTGAGCTCAGGAGTTCGAGACCAGCCTGAGCAAGAGCGAGACCCCGTCTCTACCAAAAAAATGGAAAGAAATTAATTGGACAGC